TTAAATATTTATTTCCTAATAGTAGCAGTGATAGATCTGAGGATGCCTCCAAATATTCTGATATAGTTTTCTTTAACCAAAATATATTTAAGTATATTAAAATGGCAATAGATAGTTAAGAACAATTATGCAAACGTGTCTGGCAGATTAAATAAGTGTAAAAAAAATGTTCAAGATAAACCTAAAAATAGTCAAAGCTATTCTGACACATATCCTTGTGTTCCAATAATATGCATGCTAGGGATGTTAATCACATTTCTCTGTATCTCTACATTGGCCATTAGATTTCTAAAGGCTCATTATGTATCCATGCTAGTCTCTGCTCTAAGCAATGCTAATAAATGTATATATTTAAATTTTCAACACAGTGGTTTTCAGCTTCCCTTGTTAAAAGGTAGTACTGAGACCACATTAAACAAAAGAGATGGCAACACTAAAACTACTAATGTACCCCTTTTTGATGCTAATACAATAACACCATTTCTAATTTGTTTATTTCAACTTCAGTCCACTAAAGTGCAAACATTTTTAAAAGATTTTATTATTTCACTTAATACTATTAAATGAAATAATTTTATCTTAATAATAAAATTGTAATTTTTTAAAGAAAAGAAATCCTGGAAAAGTGCTCTCCCACTGATATAACAGAAACATTTAGAATGACCATATCTGTATAAGCAGATGATGATACTGCCTATTTTCCATAGCAGAATAACTAAACTAAGAATTCTTTTAAGAAACTTGACATTTAGATAACAACTTGTAATATCTCTAAAGACTCTCTGCCATAGATAATGATATAAATAAATAATAGAAAAAATACAAAGCAATACATATTTTGTATAGATTACTTTGTCATTAAAAATGAAATGGCCAGTTTTGTTCACATATGTACCAGCAAAATATTTTTAAAATATTTGGGAAAAGCATTTTGCACTGCAGAGTTTGAGTCTAAATAGTCTCAGCTATTTATAGTAATAATTTCTAGCTGAAATTCTATAAACAGAGGGAATACCAATATATTCCAGTCTCATTATATTTTCTGAAAACAAAGGTATTTTACAACAGGTACTAGAAAAATATCCATATAATTCACATGCACTAGTGTCCATGTTCACAAAAATGTAAAGCTATTTAAGTGAATGACAATTCTTCTGAGTTGCTATGGCTATAACCTTTTAATTTTAACTTGTGTACACTCATTATCAAGATTTTTTGTTATTATGGTATCAACATATGTTGACTTGAATAGAGGCGAAAGAAAGTAAAAACATCTCTTACTCAAACAATTAATACCATACCTAAAATTAGAGGCATTAATGATATTCTTCTCTATTTGTTGCAAATGCTACATATTTTTCCTTGACTATGTTTTAAAGATTAAAAACTTGCATGCATGCAAAGTTAAATCTAAGGTCGTTTACTTCAGGAGTAAAACTTTCCAATAGGCAGAGCTAATTTTTGGAAAAGAAGACTATAAAAACAACTGAAGAGTGATGCAGGGACTAGCCAAGCAGAAAATAGAATCCGTGTCACCATTCTCATGAAGTCAAAATGAAGTGGATTAAAACAAAACACTAATTGGTGTGTAAATGTCATTTTGAGGATACAAAAATTTCTCCCAAGTCCTAGTGTTCTTTCTTTATGAGTCAAATTTGACTGTCATCATTCATTTTTTTTTGTTGTTCTAAATTTACTCTGGTAAATAAGTAAGGGCGTTTTCATATCGTATTGCATATCCCAAATGGAAATGGCTTTCTACAGTAGTATGCAAAAGTCATCTAGAACAAGCGCAATGTTTTATCCCTGATTTTTTTATTCCTTTAAAGAAAACATCTTCACTTGGTTATTCACAGAAAAAAGCTGACAAAGCATTCTGTTAATATAGTTTTTTTTGTGGATTGGCAAACAAACCAATTTGTTTGAAACTCCAGGAAGCAAATAATGTGTATAAAACCCACAATGCATGTACAATGTATATCTTATAGAGAAAATCATGATGAAAAGTGAATTGTCTGAGTCACAAAAGGACATATTTTTAAGGAGATAAACGTTTTATATCTATGAGCATACGAATACATAAATTGTTAAATAATTTTACTCTAGATCTACTTATTTTTGCATATGTTAACATTTAAACACACAAGAAATGGCTTCTAAAATTGCTTATGCTAATGCCTACTGCTCGTCATTTTAAAAGGCAATTTCACTTAAAACCAAACCCCAGGCCTCAAAACACCAGTTAAGACCAAACAAAGCATACCAAAGTCCATATATGCAAGAAATGAAAACTTCAATGTTTCAATGAGTTTTTAAATTACAAAGCAACCCAATCAACAAAACATATGTTTAAAATTCAAAAAGCATTACTTAACAAGTATTTCTTAAACCAAATATAGTTTTAATCCCCCAATAATAAAAATCTTCCCAAATATAAAACAAAACATTTCATTAACCTCCTAAGGGGCATAATAGATATGAACTGAAAATTTTTTTGGAGATAGCTGACATCCTCACGAACAAAAACCAATATTTGGTTAAATAAAAATATGAACTTCTCATAAGCAATTACTACACAGGCATGAAAGAAGTTAATGAATGTCCCTGTTAAATCCAACGAAAGGGGTGTTATAAATCTGAGATTTCAAGAGATGATATTCTGTCTTTTGTGTCTAATAAGTCAGTACATAAAAATTCTTATGGTTGAGTTAATATTTCTGTCTTTCAATCATCATTGATATCATCTGTTGAAAAATACTAAGACAAAAATTCATAATGCATATTTGGGTGTTCCTTAACATACTGGCAGGAACTGACGAATATTTAGAAAATATAAAATAAGACTTATGCTGATCCTCATCTTACTGACAGACATAAGGAAACTAATAAACCTTTCCAAGAAACAGAATGCTCTTTGAGTTGGAAGAGAATCTATAAACTGAAAGAGTTTTCAGATCTAAGATTATACTGGCAAAATGAGCCCATAACCAGTGGTTGGATTTCTGAATCAGCCCTATTTCATATTATATTTGGTTGTTTTGAATCATTCAAGTTTGAGACAGTATAATGGTGTTCCAATACAATGCACATTACTACATACATTTTCCGTTTAGGAGAGCATACGAAGTTAGGTATATCACGTTATTTTATGCTCTAAAATATATTATTCATGTTTGCCATTTTCTGATTACAGTTTCATTAACATACTTCCTGATCATGATGTGCATTACTATCTAGAGACTTCTATCCCATTGATTTAAAGGAGCACTTAGAGGAAAAAAGTCGTTTTATCACTTAAGAAAGTTATCTATTTTAAACTTCTTGTAACTATTTTATGAAAAGAGCACACACGAGAATAATTAAAGCATATACCCCAGATAATAGGAACTGACCACCATATGTGGATTTAAATGTTTTTTAAAAAAACCTATTAACAGGCTTAGCTTTCAAATCCATATACTATAGCTCTTAGCCTTGGTAGTTGGAGTCCATATTTTGTTATATCTTCCCTGTCTACCTCACTGGGGTAAGAGAAATCATGTTAATCTGTACTAGGAGTTAATAGTGAGGTGACCCTCCCCTATGCCAAAAAATAAGAACGTGAAATTAATATAATTTCTCCCTTAGAACTAAAAACTGGGACAAGAGGAATGTTGATCATTTATAGAAGCAACAAAAAGGGGTCCCAGGAGTCAGTGCTCAGCCATGCATTATCCAGAAAACATTTCAAATACACTTAATCTGATTCCAGCCTCCCAAACTCATAATGATGCCGTTATAATTGCTTTCCCAAGTACATTTGCTTACCAAAAGCAACATATTGGTCAATTAGATATGATTATACTGGTTCTTGTGATAAATATCTTATTTAAAGTTACTGAACTTCCATTATGATCTATATATTATTTTTGAACTTGTTAAAGTTAACTACCTCTCCCCTCAAAATGGATATCTGCTAGCTGATGGGAGTTAATCAGGTTTCTGAGTTTATAACATTGAGGAATAGATTCTGGTTGATAATAAATTCACCAGGAAAGAAGGTTATTTTCTGAGTATTTTTGAGCTTTTCCTAATGGTTCCTATCAGGACCACTACTATAGAATCTCCTGTTTTGAAATTGATTCCATATTCCAAAGACCATTCACTTATAAGCTCCTAGTATATCACAGCTTCTACCCAAATATCAGCTTCTATTATATCACACGTATCAATTCTACTGACTCTGATTCTCTAGCTTCTTATTTTTAGAGTGCAGCAAAGCCTCAAGACAATGAGAAAAGAGCCTGCAATTTCAAAGTTGTCACACCGAAAAACCTTCTTCATAGGTTAGAAAAAGTATAGAGGTCAAAATGTCTTTATCCCTCTAATCCATGTGTCTAGAAGATATGACTATGTAGCACCAGAAATAAGGATGAAAATCTTAAAAATTTAATATAATAAAAATATAAACACAGAGCTGCCTGTCAACTAAAGAAGCAGAAAATGAATAATCATTCAACATAGGACCTCCCTAGAGTGACAAATTGCAACAGAAATAGTGCCAGGAATAGATTTCCTGATTTAAATAGTAAACCATGCTGCCTTTTATAGAGTATATGAATGAAGTTGGCAAGAGTAGCTAATTAATTACAGCTGATTAGTCTGTCAAATCTCTTGGTAGAATAAGCAAAACATTAACTTTTCATAATTATTTGGAGTTAATGTACTTCAGATAAAGTGTGCTCTATCCATGAGGCATATACATTTTACAGCCTTTTTTTTTTTTTAGTTTTTCCAAAATCTTAGGCTTCAGTTCTAGATATTGGTATTATGAGAAATAAGATTAAATAGGGTAATTTAAATATATTTCAAGAAGACAGAACATCTAAAATAAACCTAAACTACAGGAAATCTAGACTATAAGATACATAGTTTTATATTTTAGACTTAGTATATGGAAATATCACATCTGAAACAAAAACATTGTACTAAAAGTGGTGGTGGTCCAGAAATGTACCAACCTTCAGGGTCAAGTAGTTTCTCTATTCCTAATTGATATTTGGCGATGTTGAATGCATGTTCCAGTCGTTGTGTGGCTGACTGCTGGCAAACCACACTATTCCAATCAAACAGGTCTGGCCTGAAACATACACATACACAAAGACAAATATAAATCAGTCTAGAATGTTCCATGGGTTTCACTTCAATTTTTAATTTTGATTGACTACCCATGTTCATAGTTCTTAAGAATTGAGTTTTATTCCTCATTACCCCTCAATAACTTTTCTTATTTATACAAGTCGTGTTTTTAATTGAAAACCCTGATGTTGTGAATCTTAAATATATACAATTTTTGTCAATTATAACTCAATAAACATAGGGGAAATAAAATCCTAGAAAATAAAGAATTTATTCTTCCTTATCCAAGTAACAAAAATGTATTGATCTCATCTGCTATTATGAATTTGAATAGTGGACATTTGCTGGTAACTCCCGGTTTTACAAACTCCCCAGATTTCTTCCCTAAACTCCAAAGATTCTCTGCCTACTCAGTATCTCCACTTAGTCATCATAAACCTCAAGTGTCTCAAACTGAGCTTCTGATGTTTATCTTCATTGCACTCCCCAAAGCCCACCTACTTCTCTTACAGTTATCTCTTCTTCAGTAATGTAAAAGTTCCAACATGCAACTCTTGCAGTCATCCTTGATGACTCTTTTTCTCTGGCAAAGCATTTAACTCAAAATATATCCAGAATTCGACCATCTCTCACTATCCTTATGCTATCATCCTAGTCCAAAGTATTTTTTAATCTTATGTGGATTATTGCAATGGCCTCCTCACTGCCTCCCCTTCTCTCATTCTTGCTCTTGGCACTCAGTTCTCAGAAGAGCTGCCAGAGTGATCTGTTAAAATATGTTTCATCATATCCATTTTCTCAAATCCCTGCTATAGGAGAGTAAAAATTACATATGTAACTGTGACCTACAAGGCCCAACATTGTCTGGCTCCCTACTAACTCTCGAATTTTATTTATCTCCTCATATTCCACAAACAGGATAGTTTCCTACATTTCCATTTTTTGGAATTATCTTCTCCCAGACATTGACATGGCTCACTCTTCCACTTCCTTTGGGTCTTTACTCAAATATCTCATCACTGATGAGTCCTTCCCTCCCTAATTTCTTTCTGAAAGTTCATGATCCAAATTTAACTTACAGATACTCATTTTCTTCCCCATGAGCTGCTTCATATTATTCTCATTAGCATATATTACATTCAACCTATTATATAATTCAATTAAACTTATCTCTTTATCTGTATCTTCAACTAAAATGCAGAATTTAGAATTATTGCCAGTATTTTCACTGGTAGAAACATAACCTTACACATAGTCGGTGGCTCCATAAATATTTGTCAATACAGGGGAGAGTGGATGAGCACGTATTATATAAACATATTTATACATAATAATAGAGAAAACACAAAGGCATGTAAGAGGCAGTTATTATACTATAAGGATTTTAAATCTAATAAGGAGGAATAACAAAGAAGCCACAATAATTGAATTATAAAACTGAAAAAACCACAAATAATAAAAGGTTTTGTACAGTGTAAAGAAGTCAAGAATGTTTTTGAGGCTGAAGAGAGTCTTAAATGGTGGCTTGAGTTTGGATTTAGAAAACAATTTGAAAACAGAATTCTAAGTTGTGCAGATATTAGAGAATCAAGGTTCTTAGGGAAGGAGCAAGTAAAATATGCTCAGTTAATCAAGCATCACTGGCTCCATGGGGAGATTCTAAGGCTCAAGTGATGAGAGATGTGGTTAAGAGAGGGAATCCAGATGAGTGTGTGTTAAGTTGTTAGCTGTTAAGAAATTACAATTTGATCCAATAGCATTGGAAGTTATCAGTATAGTAGATTTCACCTTTTCTGGATCACAGACACCTTTGAGAATTTTATGTAAGCTATGAAACTTCTACCACAACACAGACCTAAGCCTATCTGTAAATATAATTGACATACAATTTTAGATTTGAGTGTGTCAACAGAATCCTGCTTAAGAACTCATGATATGCAAGAAAAAAAGTTACAAAGGCAGATTAGCTCTTATTTTCTAAGACTGTATTCAAAATACATGTACAAATGTATTGCTAATTTCTTTATTTCCTTTCATTGCTCCTACCTTGATTAATACACCAGAATTTTGTACACTTATTAGGAAATCAAATCCCCGAATGCACTCCAAGTTGCCCCAAACAGCTAACAAACCATCGTTTGGAACAAAAAATATTTTTAAATTGTGAAATTCCTCTTGTTGTGAGATGAAGAAAAGAAATAAAAATGAAATTCTAGACTATTTCAGACTTTGAGCCTCACTATGCAACCTCTGCTCCATTTTCATTTCTTGAAAAACCTAGAGAATGTGAGTAGAGAATGGGATGGAAGCATATAGGAAACTAACTTTCTCACCCACAGTACAGTAAACATGGTTAAATGAGTGTGATGAGAAAAAGAGAATTGCTTATGCATTCTGATCCTTTTCTTTTCCTTCCCTTCCTCCTGACCACTAACTAACCACCTGGGTGTGGAAATATCTTACCTAAGTCATGTAATTAATTTGAGTTTCTGAATTTTCATTTATAAAAGAAGAATTGTACTAAATGGCCACTGAGGTCACTTCTAACATTAAAAAATGAATCTAATTGTTTTAAATCATTAAAATTAATTAACATTTCACAAATATATGATTTTCAAAAGCCTAAAAATTGTAAAACTAGCCAATTTAAAGGAAAGCCATACAGCTTTGTATGCTAACCTCGACCGTACTTCATAAATAAGAACTTGCAAACAAGGATCACCACAATTTTAATGAAACAAACATCATGACTAGGACAGCATAAATTCAAATCTTAACTCTACCATATCTTCACAAAAAAAGGTCTTAGGTATATCACAAAAACCTCTCTGTGGCTCAGTTTCTCAGTGTGTTAAATGGGGATGATAATGTCTATGCTATGAAAAATAGATGCGATTTTTTACCTAGAACCGTGTCTACAAAGTAATAATTGTTTATGCCGGGCTCGGTGGCTCAGCCTGTAATCCCACGCCTTTGGGAGACTGAGGTGAATGGATTGCCTGAGCCCGCCGGTTCAAGACCCGCTTGGGCAGCAGGACCTCATCTCTACAATAAATCAAAAAATCAGCCAGGCGTGGTAGCGCGCGCCTATAATTCTGGCTACTCGGAAGGCTGAGGCGGAAGGATCGTCGGAGCCCAGCAGGTCGAGGCTGCGGTGGCCAGGAGCGGCCACTGCACTCCAGTCTGGGTGACAGACTGAGACTCCGACTCAAAACAAACAAACAAACAAACAAAAAAACAAAAAATAATTATTTACAAGTATTAGCTTCTATTATTTTGTGTTAAGGTGAATTATATTTATACTACAACAGTATTTTCAATTTACAGACCGAATCGAAGAATATCTATTCTTACTGAAGAGATATAAATGTTACAAACACTGTTGATGCAAAAATAATCATATAATAACAGAATGGGAGATAGAGAAGACGAGAAAAAAGAATAAGTGTGATGATTTCCCTATACTTCATATCACAGAGTCAACAGTTCCTTTCTAAAGGGGATGAAAATAAAAAATAAAAAAGAGGTACATTCATAGAATGTAGAGTAATGAAGGCAAAAACTAGAAGAATAAAATTACAAAATAGATGAAGATGAAGCCCAATGCTAATACCTTTCATCTTCATCTATTTTGTAATTTTATTGCTTATAATTTTACTCTTCTAGTTTTTGCCTTCATTACTCTACATTCTATGAATGTATCTCTTTTTTATTTTCATACCCTTTAGAAAGGAACTGTTGACTCTGTCAGAAAATAATTTGTCAATAAATAAAAAATATAATACATATTATTAATATAACCGTCAGCAAAAAAATAGAAGTAGCTGACAGCGACTTCTAAGGATTGGAATATGATGAGATAGACTTGGGGTCATAAAGACATACATTGCTTCTTTTTTCCTTTGTCCCAGGCTCTAGTGTCTATTTAAAAAAACAAAAACAAAAAAGTTACTGCGGAAATAAATTAAAATAAGGAATTAAGAAGATAATTTAATGGGTACTTTATAGTTATTGCAACTTTATCTGCATATTTTGTGCACATTTCTAATCAATTAGAGTTTTTCCACAAAAGTAGAGTCAGGTTTCCTTTTAACAGCACTGTAGTGGTCTTTATTCTTTACACAAACTTTAATTTTCAGGGCCCTTTGCTAATCCCTATGCTCTATATTAATCACATGTCTTTGTTCTATATAGCTTAGTCACTCAATTATTGAAATTGGGCACCTCATGACATTCCTAAATGTACAAATTACAATCCCCTTGGAACAGAAATTTTAGCCATTTTTTTAGATAAACAATATAAATATCTGTGAGAGGCAAAAGAGGCGGTAGATGATTCGGGAAAGAGCATTAAATGACTGTGAGGAACCTCTTGAAAAGTAGGCATGTAATGTGCAAAGAAGCAGTTACTGATAATCCATTCAATATGACGGGAGCGAATAAATAAATGAGGATATTTTGAGAGAGAAAGAGTGGGTCAGGGACAGACATAGCGGAGCAATCTGGAACTGTTTACTGTATTTTCTATAAATATATTTAGAAATCATGAGATATAATATTAACAAATGTAGTATGTGAGCAAGCTTGCAGGATTTGTGTCTTTCACTTGAAGGGAAAATGTTGAGGAGCTAACAAAGATCTCATAACCTGATTCTTGATATTTTTTGTTCATCTGCAAATGTGTACATGAACAGTAAGATCAGTGTTTTCAGGCCCTTAGAGTAAAGCATGTGGCTGCATAAATGAACACTGACTTATGATGCAGAATGAATGCCTCTATCTCTTCTCATCTGACTGTATTGAAGCTGAGGAAAATGTGTCTTCCGTTATACTTATGAAAAACAATGTGTTAACATTGCTTAACATGCCAATTGAATGTGAGTCGGCCTCCTTTCTTAAATCAGGTTGCTGAGTAATTCACCTGCAAACCCAGTCTGGATGGGGTTAATTAAATCCAGCTTGAGCAAAACACCTGACAAAGACGCTTATTTAGAGTGAGTTTGCTCTTATATTCAGCTTTACCATGGAGAAAATTTATATTCTGAGCTTTACTAGTAGCAAGATTGGCACATGAAAATGGTAGACTCAGTAAAAAAAATCAAAGTGAGAAAAGAAAACTTGCATTGAGAATTAGGAAAGATGCAGCTCAGTGACATTTCAAACATAGTAAATTAGACAATGCATTTCACCATGAGTTTGGTGAAAGAGATAGGTAACAGGAGCACCAAATAAATATACTATACATACATAATGTATATACACACACACACATACATATATAGAGATCATACAGATCCAAACACCATATATATGGTATAGTATAAGTATAGTATAGTATAAGTGGTACAGTATTCATAGTATATTTTGTATATAAATGTATTACATATTATACAGTATCTATTATAGTATATGTTGTATATATAAGTAAATTTATATATATATATATATATATATATATATTTCCGCGTTGTTTTGTTTTTTCTTGAACTGTTCTTAATACATTTACTGAACTTCTTCATACGAAAATAAACAGCTACAAGTATTTCATCATTTAGGAAATATAACATTTATGGAATATGGTTAAGGACATTGTTTCACTATATTATATTGAGTTTCTTTTATGAAGACCCACAAAAGAACTCTCTCTTGCTTTATAGCAATTGATTTGCTGTTGCAGAGCAATTGTGCCTTTTGATATTCTGAGCACTGAGTCGTAGAATTAATTGTGTTCTGCTCTTTGCCTTGGTTGCTAAGATGCTTTGAGCCTTTTATAACCCTGAACTAGAAGAAAATATACAGGGCCTTATGTCTGCTGTCTAAGTGCGTATCTGATAAGACAAATGTTTCTTTTTCCACATAATTTATACAATTATCGTAATTAATTTTACTACAACCACTAATGAGATTTGGATCTATTTTACCTCTATAGTTGAGGCTCACACCAATACTTTACATAAAAGAACCGAAGTCATTCTCAGCAAAGTTAGAATACAACCTGGATTTTCTGGAGGTTGCAAAATCAAATATATTGATGTTCTCCCTCCACCATAAAGAGTGTCATGCTTCAATAATGTTAATAGTCCAACAACCATTGGTATAGCACATAAAATATAGAAAAAATATTCATAATCAGTCCATTCTAATGGATGATTAGATCAATATGGTTCACATACACAACATGTTGCACAGTAGGACATGATCTGAAACCACACTAAGGAAATATCTGTCATCAGAGTATACATCAATTTTTAAAAAAATGTTTAATGTCTCAGTAGTGTCCTTACCTATGACTATGGATGAGAGCATTCAAAGCCAGGCCATCGGACCAACTGGTGGTGAAGTTGATGACATTAACCTGTGGATAATTACGAGTTGATTGTCGGACCCAGCTCAAGAGAATCTTTTCACTGTTGGTTTGTTGCAATCCAGCCATGATATTTTTCATTACATTTTTGACCTACATGTGGAAAGAAATTTTCATAAGAAATGTATTTCCCAAACAAGAATCATGCAAACTCAAATGTAAATATTTTTCATCTTTAGTGAGATATATAATGAGAATTTCAGAGCCAATTAGTAATAAGAAGTCATAGATTCTACTAGAGTTAAGTTCATTTTAACTGGTTAGGAGTATATTTTGATTGGTTGGTGTATGTGCCATACCATTTACTATATATTTTATTATACCCATGGATTCTGTCATATTAAACTATAATGTACTGTTTATAGAATTGCTCACCTTCTGGATTTTGATGACTAGGCAAAAGAAGAGAGTGTATAAAACATTACACTTATTGTTAGCCAAAAAACTTAAGATAATATCAGTGATGTTTGAATAGAAAGAATAGTATAATAGAGAAGAGAGTGGTTTTTTTAAGCCTAGGTTCAAATTTTTCCTTCATATTAACAAATTGTTTTAACTGGGCAAATTATTTAACCTTTTTAAGGCTTCAGTTTAATTGTATCTTATATGCAAAGTTGTTGTAAGAATCAAAGTTTAAAGTATAGTAAAATAAAACTCCTAGGTTCGTATGGCAACTTAATGAAAAGTATTGTTTTATTGACTGAATTGAAAAAAAAAAATGAATGTCTGCCTATTTAAGATAAAGCAAAATGCAACAAAATTCCACAAAATAGAGGAAAAAGATATATTTATCCGTAGGAGCTGTAAATGTGTGACCTTGGTTTCATTTTCATTAATTGGTTTCTGTACATTTGACTCTCTCCTAGGTTTTCTGTAAGTGAAAATGCTATTAAGCAGGTCATTGTATTTCAAAGTTTCATTTCTATAACTAATCTGATGCAGAAATCCATTCTAAACATTTTTCCTATGTTTCCAGAATGCTGCGACACCTCATTATAGAACAGGCTGTCCACATATTTTATTAAAGGAATGTTTACTAGGCTACATTTTAGATATAAGTTACGTCCCTTATGAGATGCTTGAAGAAAATATATATGTAAATGTAGTTAATATATACCACCAAGGGCTTTTCTTTTAGGAAGTTTAAAGTCCATATACTATCAACATTTGATCAGATGATGAATATTTATTGCACATTCTAAATAAAACATTTTATTTTACTTTTCCACTTTATATAAGCTAACAAATGCCTTTGGGGTCAATATATATTTTAACATCTCCAATGTTAGCTATCTTTTTATGAAAAACTTAATGCATATTTTAGGATATCCAATTAAATCTGATTTTAAAATACTTTTAAAAGATTTGAGATGTTTTGTAAACATAGTAATGTTTGGAAGATATGAAATCTTTGCATATATTTATCACAATCCCTTGATAGCTGAATTCATTATTTAGGGGTGGATTATCCAGTTTTCTTAATTCCTTCTTGACCTGCTTATTTAGTCACTCAGTGAATAAATAGGTCGAATAATTATACAAGATACAGAATTTTCTCATCATATTCCAAAATTATAAAGTGTGTGACCTCCACACACAGTGGCTGCAGCGTGTGTACTTTGTATCCTGTGATGGACCAGGGTTAGAATCAGCAGATAGTGACTTAATGGTGGTGACTGATTTGCACTGATCAGCCAGTCTCCCAGTGATGAATGGAATTCATTGGTTAAATCTTGGCCAGATTTCCCTTTATGTGCATAATGTTGAAGGACAATACAGTATTCCATTCAAAACTTCTTTAGCATCATTATGTCAATAATGATGAGCCTAAGCCTCATTGTTATTGCTTCTACTTGGGTGCAAATGTTGCTGAGGAAAAAAATGTGCACTGTGTGAGTCTCATTTCTTCCTTTCCTATATAGAATACATTTATCAAGAAATCACTAAGCTGGTCCTAAAGGTGAGCCTGTAAGCAAAAAGCTTTCCTGCCTTCAGGTCTTACTGCCTCTTAATTCCAGGGCTAATTCATATTACAACCATTATATTAGTTACAATTTTTATAACATACAATTACAAAAGAACGATTTTTTTGCATCAGAGACTCCATTTAAACAAATGTGTATGTGCATGTTTGTGCATATAACTATAAATTGGTTTTTTAAGGAAAATATTAAAATGTCTTTGAGCAGTGATTTTTAAAAACGACTAGAAGTTAAATGGGCAAAGAAGGTGTCATTCACCTTCAAGGAAGGGTTTATTGCTCCAGATATGGTCAGGCAGCCTCCAGCTATTAGTCCCTCAGGGACCAACTGATATGCAGAGTCCTGTTGGCCAAGATCACACCTTTTCCAGGGCAGTCCACATGTAGTGTCCGGTAAAGAGAAATAGTATAAACACTCAGCCATTTTGGTTCCCAATGGAGACACATCTGAAGGCTCATTCTAGCATCAATTTGCTGACAGGTTTGAGAAAGGGTATTGTTGGGTCTGCATCACAGCTCTTGTTCTTCCTCTTTCCACTCCTACACCTTCTGTCATTCCACAGGTGTTGGTTTCAAGGGCATGGACTAATACATGTTGCCTGCCAAATTCAACTTCAAAGTCTACTTCCCAGAACCCAGGATATGATTAGAAGGAGTTGCAGTGGAATGATAAAAAAGGGGGGGGGGGGTAGTTTGCATGAATCTTTGAAGAAAAGCACAGCAAGAACTGCCTTGCACAGAAATTATTAGGTAGGCAGGAGTTCATAGGAAGAGATTTCAGAGGTGCAAAACACCATTCTTTTGTAATTGTAGGTTGTATAAATAATAAATAATGTAAAGATTCTAATGTGAATTAGCCCCGAAATTAAGTACTTTTCTTAACTTAGCTAGCAAAAGTGAGAACCTGACTTCTGATAGTTTACCACTGTTAGCAAGATTTGTTTTTATCACCAGCTGGTCGCTAGAGCTGAGTTTTAGCAACCTAAAAAATGGTTTGCATTTAAAAAGAAAGGAAAAAAAGACATCAAAAGCACGTTCACAATTTTGTTCAAAGCTGCCTACGCCACAAGATATGCATTTTTTAGGCTAGCAATTTTATTTGAAGTGGAAACTGGGAAAAAAGTAATGGGGAACTAAGTTTGGCATTCCTGAGTTTTCACGAGTTGAAAGAGAAGTCCTTCATGGCACTATTAACATAGTATATGGCATTAGAAGAAAAAAATTCACATCTTTCCATCCCTTAATGCTGTTCTTAACCTGATTGATCTGGAAAGTATATTAAGTTGGGCAAAGTGTCCTTTAATCATTTGCTGAAATTCAAGGGCTTCTTCTGCTATTTAATAAGAAGGCACTTATGTAATTTTGGTGAAAGTATCTTTTGGGATTCACTGGATTATAATGAACATTGAGCAGGTGAATTTTTAAAGTGTGCTTAATAGTTTTAGAGGAACAGAGCAGTGTGATAGGAGAGAGATAAGCAGGCAGAGGCTGGGAAAAGTCTAATTCCTTTCAGTCTCAAGGATATGGTGACTCAAGGACATAGATGGAAAACTGCAGGCTATAAGAGAGGTCTCAGACAGGGAAAGACTGAAAAAAAGTGGTATTCCTGGGTATAAAACTCCTCCACATACTAATAATAAAAATGAACTACTCATAAGTAAATGAAGAAAATATCAGACAGAATAATATTGAAATTCTATCTTGGAATGAGTTGAGATGGAGTTGGAAGGTGTTTTGATGAAATAAAATAGGATAAGTTCATATGAGAGATAGTGTGGATGATAAAATTCAAAGTGCCCTTTGAAGTCTTGTTTGTGCCGAAGTTCTGCTGACTTTGTCATGAGTGACATTTGTGCTACTCAAAGTCAGGTCTTTGGAGTCTTATTTCATTTTTGTAATGTTTCAGTTTTGCTGTATTTTACATATACTGGATTATGGAGGAAACCATTTCTTCCTTAAAATATTTTAAGGATATCTTTCTCCCTCCCTCCCTCCCTCCCTCCTTTCCTCCTTCCCTCCCTCTCTCCCTTCCTCCCTCTTTCCCTCTCCATATTGCTGTGAAATAGAATTATGCCTGTTCAGAGTGTTCAGAATAAAAAGATATGGGGGCCAGTTGGGAGGTCAATACGGCTGCTGAATTGAGTAGTTACACTTCTGGTCTACATATTACTTGACCCTGAGAAAGACCAATCAATTGATAATTCAAGTTAAAATTCAATTCTACTAAATAAAGTAGTGATAGCTGCTACAATGGAGTGGACTTCAAATATTATGTTCAGTGAAAGAAGTCAGACACAAAAGACACATATTTTATAATTCCATTGATATAAAATGTCCAAAAAGCCAAATATATAGAAACAGAAATATATTAATAATTGCCAAGGGCCTGTGTGAAAGTGGGAAATGACTGTCAATTAACAAGAAATTTTTTGTGTGGTGGAAAAGTGCCAAAATTAGATTGTTGGGATGGTTGTACAACTTTGTAAATGTCTTTAAAATTTTGATTGATTATAGTGGAAAACTGTTTCTTCCTCAAGATAGTATGACAACCTACTGAGCAACAGAACTAAACCAGACTGGCACACATGTGTTAATTTACAATATAATAACTACATCAAAGGAAAGTTATTTTATAGAAAGTAATTCCTATCAATAAAGCTGGCAGACAGATCTCAAGCATTCTCTACATTTTAAAAATATGAATGTAAAAGTCTAAGCATGCAATGTCATTCATGATATACCTCAAATAAAAGTGGTACACTGTATTGAGTGCTTTACAGAGATTCTCTCATTTAATCCTGATAAGAAATATACATGTTTGTTTATTTTTTTCCTCTTTTGACAGTGAGAAGACTATGCCCCAGAAAGGGAAAGCAATATACCAATTTCACTAAGATAATGAATGGGTAAGATTATTCGCTTTCTAAACTAAAACACCTTCAGTCTGTTTTACAGAGGTCAAATAAATACAGACAGTCAGAAATCCCTACACTTAGGTGATTCCAAAAAGGTCCAATTTCCTCAACAGATTATGAAGTGAGTATGTGATATGACATATAAATGCATACAGATACTCATATCTCACTAATCTTTTATTGTTATTAGTTTACATTGAGAATACAAAGATCGCCAAAGACTCCTTTGGTAGTGATTAAAAGCAAAAATACCTTTCTTTTTACAAAACTATGTAGATTCACTTATAACCAATTTGCACAACACACACATTCATAAAAATAGTTTCTATTAACTTATAGTTGGGACATTGTATTTTTTGTATCATTCCTACCCAATGAAATAATATTCAGAAACATTTTCCTGCAAATGTACAAGAACCTATTCTCTACTCTCCTGATCCCTATCATCCAAGATAACATGAGCTGTTAGAAATATACATGCTTGAGAAACAAAGATCTGAGTATCACATGTTCTCACTCATAAGTGGACCTTGAACAACTATCGTAATACTATAAGAAAAGGATTGACAATGGCAGGAAACTATGGGGGGGCAGGGAGGGGAGAAGAGGTAGGATTAACGGTAGTCAATATCTGTCTGGGGACAAGGGGGCACACCTCATCAACAAGGGTACCTGCACAATGCATATTTGTATACCTAACCCTTAACTGTATCCCACAATTTTAAAATAAAAATATGTATTAAAAAATATAAAAATAGGCCGGGTTCGGTGGCTCAGGCTGTAATCTCAGCACTTTGGGAGGCAAAGGTGAGTGGATTGCCTGAACCCGCGGGTTCGAGACCCGTCTGGCAACTTGGCGAGACCTCATCCCTACAATAAATAAAAAATTAGCTGGGTGTGGTAGCACGCGCCTATAGTTCCAGCTACTTGGAAGGCTGAGGCGGAAGGACCACCAGAGCCCAGCAGGTCGAGGCTGCAGTGGCCGGGAGCGTGCCACTGCACTCCAGTCTGGGTGACGGAATGAGACTCCAATCCAACTCAAAAAATTAAAAATAAAAATAAATAAAGAGCAATTACTAAGCAAAAAAAAAAAAAAAAAAGAAAGCAAGAAATATACGTGTTTGTATTTCAGGTCAAGGGTAAAAATGAAAGGAAAACTTAGCAACATGTTTCCCAAAAGGGAACTATTCATCAGACTTCTTACCTGCCAATGGAGGATTATATTCCAAATCAAACCAAGAGTCAGTTTATGATTTCCATCTACTATGTCAGTACTTCCAATATTCACCAAATCAACCTGTTAAAGAGAAGGGGAAAAACATTTGAAGGTAAGAGACCAAATGTGCACTTATAAATAACCATATAATGTGAAAGCAATTTCATTTAGTTATTTTCAGAGCCTAAGCAGCATTATAGCCTTTTAAAAATTATCTAAAAATGAAACAAAATGCATCTGTAAATTCATTTTCCATAACAAACAAGCACTCCCAAATACATTTGCAGAGAAAGAAAATGGATATACTTTTAGCATATGAATATATGACTGCTGATGAAAGAGGTCAATCAGAGTATCTCCAAATAAAATGTTTAACAGTTATAACCCATAAAGGATACTTAAAATTAAGACATGCTATCTAGTACAGAATTAAAATTTTCAAAAAAACAGAAGGTTCATCAGCCCTTTTGTCTAGCTCAGGAAATGTAATAATTAAGGGTGAATACACTTGACTAAAATGCCCCTGCTTTAGAAAGAATATTAGAACTATAATAAATAATAGGCCAAATGTCCAGATCTTTTATTCTCTATCTAGGCCTGGGTTTGGAAATCAAAATTTGTCAGGGTTTCATTTTTCAAAGCAAATCTCTATGTCTCCTGTTCTTTTCTCACACCTAGCATGCTTAGGTGGAGTCAGGTTAAACATAAGGATCAGGTAAATAAGCACATGAAAACATGTTCAACATTATTAGCCATTAGGAAAATGCAAATTATAATCATAATTATATATAACTACATACATCATAACTAAAATAAAAAACTGTTACATAAAATGCTAGTGAAAATGCAGAGAAACCGGTTCATTCAAACATTGCTGGTGGACATGTACATGTTCTAGCAACTCTACAAAATAGTTTGACAGTTTCTCACAAACTGAGAATGTATTTATTACTTAATACAGAAATTGGCTCTTGGACATTCATCCCAAATAAACGAAGACATATGTTTACACAAAAATCTGTCCATAAGTATTCATGTTAGCATTATTTGTAATAGCCCAAAACTTAGAACAACCCAGATGCCCTTAAAGGGTGAATACCTCTAAATGATTGTAGAGTCACACCAAGAAATACCACTCAGCAATGACAAGAAACACATTTTTGATACTTGAAGTATATTGGAGAAATTACATGGGGATTTTGCTAAGTAGAAAAAAAAAATCTCAAAGGGTTGCGTACTATATGGTCCTATTTATATAATAGTCTTGAAAAGACTAAATTATAGAAATGGAAAGCAGAGCAGAAGTTGCCAGAAGTTACAGATGGAGGTAGCATATGTAGGGTAGGTGGAAGTAGTTATAAAAGGGCAATACAAGGGATCCTTGTAGTGATGGAAATGTTCTGCATATTGACTCTGATAGTAGATACACAAACTTACACATGTCATCATGTTGTATAGAATACATACATTTGCATGCATATACATGTATACACACATGAATATAAGTAAAACTGTGAAAATTTGAATAATATTGGTATATTGTGCCGATGTTGACATCCTGGTCATAATATCATATTTCAGTTCTACAAGATGTTACTAGATACAAGGGGAGGTTAATAACTCAAGAATATAAAAGCACCATCATCCATATCTCATCTGGGGATTCTTCATATAGCAGAAGAGGGAAAGAGCTTTTCCACATAAAAAAGTCACTATAAATTTATCAATTAATTTGATCATTCAGCAAATCCATTTTGGCTTTATGCCAGCCATTGATGTTCTAAGAGCAAACACATACAAATCTTTCCTGCTTTCATGAAACTTAATTTTAGTGAGAGTGATAATCATATCATACATTGTAGATTTAAGTATTTAAGCAGGGAATATATAACTTTTAGGAAATAGACTTATGCTGGGGGCATCAATACTGGTAGCTATGTTTTGATTTGCTATCGAGCTGATTCTGGGAAGACTTAGAGTGAGCAATTGGCACTTACATTCTAGCAACCCCCATCTATTGTCATAAAACTTCTCACTGCATGAGCAGAAAGATGGTTCCTACATTTCTTTATTCTCACAAAATCTCTCGTAAGGACCAGTTTCTATGATGTTCAAGTACTGTGCTCATTCCCAATAAAGAATAAAGTAGAACCTCTAATGTCAAAAACTTCACAAGATAATCGTAGGCCACATTAAAAAACAAAACAAAGGAACTACAATTAGATAGGCTTCAGCAATTCCATGTTTAGGTATATACCCAAAAGAACTGAAAACAGGGACTCAGATAATTGTAGATCAATGATCATAGTGGCATTATTCACAATAGCCAAAGGGGAAACAACCCAAATATCCATTGGCAGAGGGATAGATAAACAAAATGTAGCACGTAGATACAATGGAATAGTGTCAGCCTTAAAAAGGAGTTAAATTTTAAGACAAACTACAACAAAAATGAACCTAAGAAGCATATGCTTAGTGAAACAGGCAAAACAAAATGGTAAATATTGTAAGATTTTGCTTATATGAGATACCTAGAATAGTCAAATTCATAGAGGAAGAAAAAAATGGATGTTATCAGGGACTGGGGGATAAAGGAATAGAAAGATATTGTTTAATGGATAGGAATTCAGTTTGAGATTGTAAAAATGTTCCAGAGATGGATACCCAAAAATAGTTAAAATTACATATTCTCTGCTTAAATACTTAAATCTTCAATGATGTATAATCTGACATCCTCACTAGAACTAAGTTTCATGAAAGCAGGAAAGTTTTTTCCCCCTTTTGTGTTCTTAGAACATCAGTGACTGCCATATAGTCAAAATGAATTTGTTGAATGAATGAATGAATTGATAAATTTATATTGGCTTTTCCATATGAAAGAGTTCTTCCTCTCTACTGCTGTGTGAAGAATTCCCAGATGAAACAAAGTGACGACTCAACACAATAAAGACCACATATGACAAAACCTACAACTAACATAATCAATGGTGAAAAGTTTAAAACTTTTCTTCTTATATCAGGAACAAGACAAGGATGTCCACTCTCACCACTTCTATTCCACATAGGACTGTTGTGTTCTAGCCAGAGTAATTTGGCAAGAGACAGAAATAAAGGGCCTCCAAATTGGAAAGGAAGAAGTAAAATTATTTATTTTTACATATGATATGATCTTCTATGTAAAAAACTTACATGTAAAAAACTGTAAAGACACCAACAAAAACTGTTAGAACTAATGCATGAATTCAGTAAATTTGCAGGACACAAAATCAACATAAAAATAAGTAGCACTTCTATACGCAAACATCAAACTATCTGAAAAAGAAGACATGAAAGCAATCCTATTAAAAAGAATTAAGACCTCCAAAAAATAAAATATTTATGAATTATATTTAACCAAGAATGTTAAAGACCCGTGTAATGCAAACTATGTATACTGATGAAAGAAACTGAAGAGGACACAAATAAATGGAAAATTACTCTATGTTCATGGGTTGGAAGGGTTAATATTGTTTAAAGGTCTCTATTACCCCAAGCAATTTACAGATTGAATGCAATTCTCATCAAAATTCCAATAATATTTTTTAAATGGAGAAAAATACATACGAAACCACAGATGTTTAGATATAGCCATAGCAATTTTGAGCAAAAAGAACAAAATGAGAGATATCACACTACCTAATTTTAGAATATACTGCAAACCTATAGTAATCCAAACAGCAAGACCTAGGCATTAAAACAAAACAACAACAGCAACAATGTTTTAAAAATGAGAGAGAGAGAGAGAGAGATGAATGGGATAGAATACAGAACCCAGAAAAATAAACACACACATTTATAACCAACTGATTTTGAACAAAGGCGCCAAGAGCATACAATGGAAAAAGTACAGTCTCTTCAGTAAATGGTGGTGGGAAAACTGAATATCCATATGCAGAAGAAATACTTTATACTTTTATCACATACGATGTACAAACTCAACTCAAAATGGATTAAAGACTTAAATGTAAGACCTGAAACTGTAAAGGTATTAAAAGAAAACACTGGGGGAATGTTTTCTGAAATTGATCTGGGCAAAAAATTTTTTTGATATAAACCCAAAAGTACTGACAACAGAAGCATAAATAGACAAACAGGAATCATGAAATTAAAAAGCTTATACACGGCTAAGAAAAAAACCAACAAAGTGAAGAGACAACCCACAGTGAAGGAAAAAATATTTGTACACTATACACCTGATTCATAAGGGATTAATAGCTAAAGTATATAAGAAACTTAATAGCAGGAAAACAAATAACCATATTTAAAAGATGAGCAAAGGACGTGAATAGACATTTTGCAAAAGAAGACATGCAAATAACTAACAAATATATGAAAAAAATGTTCAACATCACTAATCAGAAGAGAAATGAAAATCAAAAGTACAAGGAACTAGCACCTCATACCTCCTACCTGTTAGAATAACTATTATTCAAAAAAGACAAAAGATAACTTTTGGCAAGGATGTGGAGAAAAAGCAAACTTGAACATTGTTTGTGAAAATTTAAATTATTATAGCCATTATGGAAACTAATATGGAGGTATCTCAAAAAGTTAAAAATATAATTACCATATGATCTGGCAATTCCACTACTGGGTATATATTCCAAAGGAAATGATATTACTATGTTGAAGGGAAATCTGCACTCTTGTGTTCTTTGCAGCATTTTCACAATAGCCAGGACGTACGATCAACCTAAGTGCTTATCAACAGATGAATGGATAAAGAAAAAGAAGTCTGTATATAGATAGGTAGATAGATGATTAGATAGATAGATAGATAGATAGATAGATAGATAGATAGATAGATAGATATAGATAAATCTGCAAAGAAAGTCTAGAAGAAAGAAAAGTGTTGAGTGGAGAAAACATGCCAGAAAGAGGAACTCACATGACTAAGGGTAAAGAGTATTGTCTGTGGGAATTCGAGGTCATATATTCAAGGGCAATATACCATGGTCTTAGAAAATTACTCTTATCACGCTACATTTAGTACCAATCATCATTATTTCCAATGGTCATTATCATTTCCAATTATCATTATT